ATTCTGGGAGTTCTCTTTTTGAACTTTGCAGCCCTTTTCTCCCCGCTCTGTGAAGTAGAATTTTGCACGAAGGAGACGGTGGTCCGATCCCATTCGAAATTTTGGGACAACAGCGACATCAGTCAGGCAAAACCATCGATTGAATATGATGTGGTCTATTTCGTTGTGGAATCGTCTACCGGGAGACTCCCATGTCCATCGTTTAGATTCTGCCTTCTGGAACTGTGAGTTACCATGAATGGTCTTGGTCGACATGATGAACTCAGACACTACTTCCACTACCCAGCCGTCGCCACACTCCAGGACGCTTTCTGGACCTGCGTGGCAGCTCCGGCCAAGACCCACGCACGACTGAAGACCCACAGAACAAGATAAGCGGAACTCTCTGAGACCTTGGACTCCAGGCTCGGTGGACCCAGGGACAGAGCTTCTCTGCTTGCTCCCACCACCACAGCCGTCGCCACACTCCAGTACGCTTTCCGGACCTGCGTGGCAGCTCCAGCCGAGACCCACGCACGACTGAAGACCCACAGAACAAGATAAGTGAAACTCTCTGAGACCTTGGACTCCAGGCTCGGCGGACCCAGGGACAGAGCTTCTTTGCTTGCTCCCACCACCACAGGTGACAAAGGGATTCTAATCAGGAGCCCCACCCTACCCTGCCCTGTCTGCTTCCATCAACCACCCAGGGATCGAATTGCGCACAGGAGACCCACCCTACCCAGAAAAATACCCCACTGGCAGACTTCCACTCTCGACACTACTTCTACTACCCAGCCGTCGCCACACTCCAGGACACTTTCCGGACCCGCGCGGACACCTCATAAGACACTAAATACCCATCTTCTGGAATTGTCGTACCATATTTGATAGGGTTCAAATATGGTAACACCTACAAAGGTGATTAGAGGTCGCCCCAAAAGCCTCTGTCCCTCTTGGAAAGACTGGCAAGCTACCGAGAGTATTCCACCCGCACCGAAGAGCCTGGCAAGCTATCCGCTGTGTATTCGATATGCCAAAACCAGTAACTACAACTGGTCTCATTCACCTGACCCTGAAGGCTTCACCGACATGGCAGCACTGAGAAGGATGAGAAAGGAGAGGCCGACAAAATCTCAAGGCCGACGTAGTCTGCCACAACGAAGGAAGACAAAAATGATCGTCTGTACTTTCAATGCACGTACGCTAGCATCAGATGCATCCATCGAGGACCTGATGGTACAAGCGCAAATGATCAAGTACGACATCATTGGTCTGACTGAGACAAGAAGGCACGAATCTCACCATGCCGTTTTCGACACTGGAGAAGAATTGTTCCTCGGAACATGCGATAAAAGAGGTGTTGGAGGCGTCGATGTCCTTGTCAACACAAACTTGGCCAAGAGCATTGATTCATTCGAATGCCTAACAACCTGAATCGGACGTTTACATTTGAATAGATGTGACTCACTGCCTGCAGTTTCTATCTTCGTTGTCTACGCACCAACATCTCATTATGATGAAAGAGAAATCGAGAAGTTCTACATGGAGCTAGAGAAGTTCTATAAAGAAGACCACACCTTCTACAAGATCATTGTGGGTGATTTTAATGTCAAGATAGGACCGAGAAGATCAGCTGAAGAACTTCACTTCGGGACCCATGGCCTAGAATGGAACGAACAGGGTGAGAGACTGTCTGAGTTCATCATGTCGACCAGAAACTCTAAACTGAAATTATCCTAAACCATTTCCTTTTTTTCTTATCTAAAACAAAAGTTGTAGTTTTGTATTTATCATCCCTTTGTGTATATGTTTTCATGTGCATTTTGCAACCATTGTCTATATGCATGTATGTAAATTTAAATATCTATGTGGTATTAAACTTTTGTAACTATTAAAAGGTGTAGGTCATTGTACATCTTGTTATGCTGGTATTATATTTTCAGGTTATTTATATCGATACAGGTCATATTAGAATGTAGTGGTATGATAGCCTATTTCAATGGTTTTTACTATTCTTTCATAGAACTATTACAGTTTTTCTTTGTCATTTTCTTGCTGAAAGAATTTTTAAGTTTTTTCACACTCATAAACAATGCTGCAGTTGTACTTCTTGTCCCCTCTTGGCATCCAAGGTATTTACTCTAGGGTTTATATGGGAAGAGGAACTTCTGAATCAGAGATAGAACACGACATCTCTGTGATTAAGAGCATGGCACTGTAGCCAGATTGAGTTTGAATTCTTAGTCTTCCCCTTGATAACTTCCCTTGGAATCTATGATCACCAGCTATTTTTAGCTCCTTTCATGAGCATGTTTGGTTTACCTCATCCGCTGGTATCAGTCAGTCAGTACTGCCTGTGAACTCGGTTTCAGTCGTTGCTGCTAGAACAAATTCTAGGCTCCAGGAGCCAGATGAAATAGGCCTGTGGTTTCATATGTAATCACTGCTTTATATTAATATACAATTTCTGATCCACTAGGAGGTTTATTTGAAAACCTGGACATCTTTTCCCCTTACTTATCCTTTTAATATTTTATTTCTTTTTTAAAATATTTTATTTCTGATGTGTTTGCATCAGAGAGAGTACATCAAACATATACTTATTGTATCTTTAGCCAGAATTTTTAAATTTTTTTTATGTAGGAGTACTGCTATTTATTCAGCCACTGATTACCTGATTGAATTGGGCATGAACTCCACCTTAATTTTTTTTCATAATTTTATTTTTTTTCTTCTTATATTTATTTATTGAATCATTGTGGGAAAAGTTACAAAGCTTTCAGTTTTAAGTCTCGGTCATACAATGATAAAACACCTTTCTCTTCACCAGTACTCATTTTTTACCACCAAGAACCCCAATATACCTCCCTCCCACCCCTTTCAATGCCTGTGAGGCAGATGATTTCTACTTAACTCTTCTCTACATTGATACAGTCATTATTTTGACAAAAGATGAACCATTATTATTTAGAATTCCTCCCCCCCAACAATCAGAATTGCTGAAAAGGCATTGTGAAATACTTTGTTTTCTATAGCTCGTTATGAGAATCATATAATGTCACACAGTCGTGATTTGGGATTTCTGCAAAGAGCCAGATAATTACGAGATTGGTTTCTGTGCGTCTGGTGTTATGTCTGTGCTGGAGAGCCGCTTGTGGCGGGGGGGGGGGGGGGGAAGGGAGCAACTTGTGACATCGGTAGGGTGTGAAGGACAAGCCGGTACCGCCCCCCTTCCCATGAGACTGCAGTTGCCCCATCACTGCGGGCTCATACCTGGCTTTCCTATAAGCTGTGAGGCAGTGGCCACCTTGCTGCCGGGGGGCGGCGGGGGGGAGGCAGAAGGGAGCAACACCCTTTCCCTCCCAGGATGGCATGGCGCCTTAGTTTAATGCATGGTACATTTGCTTTTCTGCCAGAAGCTGCTGGGCTCTGGATTAGTACTTTTGCCTCTGGAGCCATGGCCATGCCAGAGAGTCACTCATGGGGGGGCAACTCATGACCTCAGTAGGGCATGAAGGATGAGCTGGTACTGCCCCCCTTCCCCTCGGACTGCAGTTGCCCTATCACCGCCTGCTCATACCTGGCTTTCCAATAAGTTCTGAGGCAGCGGCCACCTTGTATGCAGTCCAGATGCATTTCTGCCAAAAGCCGCTGGGTTTTGAGATTTCTTTCTGGGTCTCTGGGATCATGGCCATTAATCAGCTTGATCAGGAGCCAGAGGGGCTGTTTGTAGGTGGCGACTCGGGGTCTCGTTGGGATGGGGAGGAAAGGGCCGCCCCCATCTGGTGAGGCCCCACGTGTCTCATCCCTGCAGGCCTAAACCTGACTGTCCAGTGGCCTCTGGAGGATGGCGGTCATCAGGCTGCCAAGGGGAACAGGCCAAGGCACAAAACCTATTCCCACCTAGAGTGGCCCAGCGCCAGTAACCTACTGCAAGAACAGGATGCATTTCTGCCAAAAGCCTTTGGATTCCAAGATTCATTTCTGAGTCTCTGGGATCATGGCCATTAAGCAGTTTGATCAGGAATCAGAGAGGCCATGCCAGCCGGAGGTGGTTTGTGGGTGTGTCATACCTAACTTTTGGCCGTTTACTTTCTTGGTAAACTTTGCCCCAAGATTTTGGGTTATGGCCAAAGGCACAGCAGCAATTTTGGGGTATCTGAAAGTCTGACTGTGCCATCAGGCTGCTGATGCACTTGCCTCACAGGTACAGATTGACCTGCTGGTGGCACCATACCCCCTTTTAGCCAGAATTTTTAACACATCCATGACCTTTGAAAACAAGCAAAAATCTTAGCATTACCTAAACATAGATTTTTGGAGCCGGAAAGGGTTTTGGAGCTAATGAAGGTAAATAACCTTATTTTATAGGTGAGAAAATTGTGGTCTAGAAATTAAGTGATTTACTATTGTCATACATATATCTAGTTAATGATAAAGGCAGGTTCAGAATCAAAACCTGCAAGGTTCTTGCAATCGTGCTTATGCTATAACATTTGCTGTCACCTTTTTTATTCTCTAAAGTATATGTTTACAAGAATCATTTGATTTTTGTTGACTGTCAATTATATCAAAATATAAAGCATCTAAAATTGGCACCTCACATTTTTAAGTTGATATAAAAGCATTCTTTTTGAAAAATAATGAGTAACATGTAAGATTATTCATTGTATTGGGAAGAATTTCTTTTCATTAGAAACTGCAATGCCTTTTGATGCCAGGGTTTTGCTGCATTTGGATTCTTAGACTTTCGAAAACTTATTAGGATGGACCCATCAATAATGGTGCCAATATTTCCAGCTTCCGACAGCTTTGGGTCTGAAGCAGAACTGTGATGAATCACTATGGCTGGCCTTTATGGTGATAGACTATATTTCTGCTGCCTTGTAAAAATGCAGGTTATTTAATTTATCAAGATATAATTAAGAAAGCAAGTATTTATAAGACATTTTAAGGGTGTAAATTCAGAATTTTACATTTTTGTTAAAATCTTTGGAATTGTTTTATTCTGTTTCTAGATCTTTTAGCTGTGCCTAAGCATCCGTACGCTGCTATGGAGAACTGGGGACTAAGTATTTTTGTTGAACAAAGAATACTGCTGGATCCCAGTGTTTCATCTATTTCTTATTTGCTGGATGTCACCATGGTCATTGTTCATGAGATATGTCACCAGGTATGAGAAAAAGAATCAGGTGTAAGTATACTTGCATACGATTTAGGCTGTAAAGTGATTTCGGATACTTAGATTAGGAACTAAATCATTATCCTCCCAATTAAGTTTTAATTATATAGAGAGTACTGTGAAATTATTTTTCAGAAGATAAGTCATTTTTCTCAGATGGCAGCACAAACGAAAGCATAGAGACAAATCAGATTGAATAAACAACTGTCACTCAGTTTTGCTGAGGAGAAGACGCTGCTGCATAGCATCCTCTTTGGAGACCCTATCCTGTTACTATTCCTTGTCAAGCTTGCTTTATTTTCCTGTGATTATTGGTGTGTATATATGGTAAGTGCAGTGATGGCAATGATTTATTGCACTGCTGCAAGATGCAGCTCAGTTTTGTGTACGTGTCAAAATTTGCTTTTGCTGAAATCAATTTGTTATTCCCCTTTTCCCATCACACAGACACTTAGGAAGTCTTTCACTAACTCAGTGATACACTCTTTGTTCTCCAATGATTGATATTTTTTTTTGTCTTGGCATGTTTAGAAATTCATATGTAAATTAGCCAACTTTGTAGTGCAGCTAAGATCAAATTAATTTCACTTAGATTTTATGCACTTTCTTACAACGAATGGGAAGTATCGCAAGAAATTTTGCCATGTTTATTTAAATCTTGATTCCAGTGAAAGAAGTAACTAAAAATAAATGTTACTAAAAAACAATACCTTTATTAGCAATCTCATTGGATCATGATGAGTTCAATTGGTTATAAATTCACACCTATTTAGGAAGCTAGAAAACATTAGAGAGTGATGTGGAAAATACTGTCAGTGGGGAAAAAAAGGAGGAATTGCTAAATCATACTACATGGAACTGACTTAGTGATGAATTGACGTAGGTCATAAGTCCTAAGTACTAACCTTTTGCAGTTAGCTTGCAAGATGTATATACCTGTCCTGCTGGCCAGGTTGGGTCATGTGTTCCTTGCCTCAAAGGCTTATGGGAGTCATTGCATGGAAAATCAGGATTCACATGCTGTGCAAAAGAGATCATCTCAGCTACGCCAACAAGTCTTTGAGACAGAACAGCTTCTTTTTGAACATTCATAGAAATAAGTTACATATATAGCTTTGTTGAAATGAGAACATTGACCAGGTAATCCTTGTTCCTTGAGCAGGGTTTTATTTGTAGCATGTATTATTACCTTCTTGTTAATAGTTAAGTTGTACTTGGCTATTTACTACTAAGAAACTGGACAAGAAGAGGAAATATCTACCAGAATCCATTATAACCAAGATATTTTTTATACTACCTTTTTGTCCATATACTAAATGTCATAATTCCTACTTCAGAGTTTCAATTTAAATAGGAAGTATGTATTTTTGTTGAAAATAAAGCTTTTGTTTTGTGATCATATTTGATGGAGTTCTGCGGGCTACTTTGTACTTAAGAGACCTTTCTGGTGTTGCTAGGGGAACCATACAGTACTGAAAATTGAACCCAGACCTCCCTCATGAAAAGCAAATGCTCAGTTCATTAAACTATTTTTCTAGAACCTAAGGATAAGAACTTTAAATCTTGATTACTTTGTGATAATCAATATGCTCAAAATTATATCATTTTTATTTCAATTAAAAATTCTTTTTAGTGTAACTTTTAAAATCAACATTAAAACGTGAAAAGGATAAACTTGTAGTATACAGTTAAGGTGCATGCCTTATATACAGCTGACTCAAGTTTGATACCTGAAACTACAAGGTCCCCAAAACACCATGGGGTGTGGCCGTTGATGTCCTCCAGCACCGTGGAGTGGTCCAGATACCAGAAAATGCCCAGCATCTCAGAGCAGGGATAGCACTGGTTCTTTAAGCTTTGCATTGGACCATCAGCCCAGATTGTAGATAATTGCCAGAAGTAGTGGAGGATTGTTAATCACTTTTAGCAATTCTCCTCCAGAACCCAAAAGCACCGCTTGGGAGGACCCCTCCTCCCCAAACACATAAAGTTAATATGATCAATCACGGTCATGGTCACGGTCCTCCCGTTGTTCATCGATTTGCTCGAGCGGGCCCAGTAACGTCTCCATCATGAAACTTGTTGTTACTGTGTTTGGCATATCGAATACGTCACGGGTAGCTTGCCAGGCTCTCCGAGAGGGGCGGAGGAATCGAACTCGGGTCGGCCATGTTGGCCACTTGTAAGGCAAACACCCTACTGCTGTGTTATCACTCCAGCCCTTTATTATATGATCAATAATAAAGTTATTTACTGATGCTCCAACAGACATATATGATCTGATACTTTTTAACTTTTCATTTCTAAAGTTCCTCATCATCATTCAGGTTTTCCCATTAAGGGAGGAATATTTGCATCTGCCTGGAATCTTCTTGCCAAAACAAGTTTCCTATTATCATTAGAGTCTGAGCTCAAATATCACTTGCTTAGAGAGAATGCTTTATGCTTTTTTATAGTAGAAAAAGTCCCTCCCCATTCTTCTAACATTAGAATCTGAAATCATGGTGTACATCTGCTCGTTTTTTAAAAAAAAATTCCTTTCTCACCTTATTTCCCTTCTAGCACCCCTGTCCCCAGTCTCCACACTGTGACTTTTCATCATTATAATTTCAAGTATTAAGTGTAGCTTCTAAGATGACATGTAATGTGTTAATTCTTTTAACTTAAAAGGAGCCTCTTTACATTTTACTGAAATAAAATATACACATTACAGAAAAATATATCATAATCTAATCTAGAACCAATTAAAATGGCATTATTTTTAATGAAGGGATTTTATAGGTAATTTTGTTTTAGGTCATTAGAATTATGAATATTCAAATGTGAAACATCTTAGTTCTTTCAATAAATCACCTTAGTTCTTTCAATAAATCGCCTCTATGACAAAAAGGCAGTGGTAACAAACTTCCTATGATGAGTCTCTCACTGCCTCCTGGGGAATTATTTCCATCTTCCGTTATCAGGATCTTAGAAACCCAAACTCTAATATCCATTGAGTAGCTCCCATTGGTCCCTTGTTAGGCAGAAGGTAAAAAGCTTTTACCTCTTCCACATAATTGGGATTCAAATATTTGAAGATAGCAATCATCATTTTTCCTCTTCTTAAATTCTTTCTTCTCCAGGTTAAAAACTCTTTTTGTGTACTTGATCATTTTGGAGTCTTTATTTATTGAAAACAGACAAAAATACCCCCACAACACTAAAAAATCAAAGCTAGTGTCACTCAAGTAGTGGAATAAATCTACAGTTTTGTCACAGCAGATTTTAAGATCACAAAATCAATTGGGAGATTAAGTCTAGTTATAATAATTAGAGATCAGTATACTTAATTTTAGGTATAAATAAATCTGGGGTATATTTTATTTTATCTGATGCTCATCATTTTGTCACTGCAGTGGTTTGGTGACCTTGTGACTCCTGTGTGGTGGGAAGATGTGTGGCTGAAGGAAGGTTTTGCTCACTACTTTGAGTTTGTTGGTACAGACTACCTCTATCCTGGCTGGAACATGGTAAGTTCTGCTTTTCTAGGTTTGGAAAGGTTTCTCTGATGTTATATTGGTTTATAGAGATGAATGAAATACTGAAAACGAACAAATAAAAGAAAAGTAATCAGAATTTTAGATATAAGTATTCCAGATCTCTCTGATTTATTAGAACCAATTGATACACATTGACTTAGAAATATTTTAGAATGTAGTATTTGATAACAAAGTTATCTTTAAAGTGGCCAAGAATAATTAATAAGTAACATTGTAAATATATAGAATATTTCAGCATATAAAAATTAGAACTTAACATTTTTAAGTGTGAAGACTATTTGAAGCAATATTTTTGAATATATAGTTAGTGTTGAATGAGCTAATTAAAGTCATTTACTTTTGGAAGTATTATACACATTGTACCCATACTCTAGGAAGATTCTTCTACATTTGAACCGGAAGTAAGATTCTCTGGTTCCTAAATTATGATATTCTTGAATATTTTAGAAGAAACACTGGAAGGAAGTTGTTCTTTTCATCTGTTTTTGTTTTACATTTTTTATAGGATTTCATTAATAGGTAATTGTGTTATTATTTAAACGAAATCCAGGATATCTGTTATCAGGTGATTAATATTTGAAATGTTTTTACTAGCACTATATGAAAATTACAAAATTTGCATATTTATCAAATTTCAGAGACTAAAATTTTACCTGCATAGGTAATATATTTTCATATACATATATATTTTATTGCTTAAATTATTTATAGTTAGTTGTTTTGTATATGTCTATTATGATTATAAGTATTATTTGGAGAGCGCTTCTTGGGATCCCATCACAGATGTCATTGATAAATTTTGAGGAAACACCACCAATAAATACCTTGCAATATTATTTGAAGTAGTCCTTAAGAGATGAAAATTTCAAACTTAAATTAATAGTGAAACATTTCAAAAATTATCTTTTGGTTTTATATGACCTTCAGACGTTCATCCGACTTTGTTTGAAAATTTCATTTAATTTTCATTATATTGTGTCTTATTACTGATTAATTATTTCATTGTTTCATTATCCAAAGATGTTATTATGAAAGACATGTTACTCATATATGTAAGCTTGTTTTATAGTACACTAGGCAACATGTGACAAAATTCTTTTTATTTATCATTATAAGAATGTATAATAGATTAAAAAGTAATAAACAGGATTATATATAGGGTAAAACTGACAACTTTTGGTAATTTTGCTTAAAAATAAGTCCTAATTTTTATGTCCTTATTAGGTATTATCTTTGAATATTTTTGAATTGCTTCATGATGTTTATTATTTGTTAAAGTTGTAGATCTTTTAGATAATACTTTTGTAACAAGTATAAAAAATAAATAGAGTAACATAGCTGACTTTGCCCTCAGTAGAATACATACCTTGCACTATATATAAAATTGAATTTAGGCACAAAACAGCAATGTCAAATGTTCACCTATTAAACTAACAAAGAATGAACTCCATGGCAGTTAATTAGACATTGGGAGAGGGAACATTTTAGAATGTTCCTTTGGATTAAGACTTTAAAGATTATGCATACTTTCTTATCTTTCATCGTGTTTTTCTTTTTAGTTGCTTTCTTATTAAACTTTCAAGATATTAAGCCCCATCAAAAGAAACTTTGAAACAAATTACTTCTCCATATATCATTAAATTTTTTCTCTGCTAACAGTATTTAAGGGTAAGTTTGCCACACAGATAAGAACTAAGTGACTTGAAGGCTTTGCCAGCACTGTATTTCATAATGGCATCGTAAAAAAAAAAAAAAAACGAAAGAAATACTAGAAAGAACAAGAGTGATAGCCACGTCAGCAGTAACTTATACTATTGCAAAATGCACAGAAGCTTACCTAAGAGTGTCTGGTTTGGACTTCATTCGAGTTTAGCCTAAATAGAAAACCCAGAATTCAAGCTTTTGTCCGGAGTAAAGTAATTCAGGATGTTGACCTCTTTTGCTTCTAATCTCAAAGGCAGTTCCTTTTTCATTTTTAGACACCAAGACTTAAGCACTGAAATACAATTTCAATTTTCTAGGGATATTACTATGATAATCTGCTTTTTATGGATTCACTATTAAGAAACCCAGAACTACACAGTATTGTTAAGGAAGCTCTTGTTCTGATTTAGGCCAGGGAACAGTGTATCTGTTTTGTCTGCTTATCTGTTGTGTGTATGTGTGCATATGTTTTCAGAGCCAGTTTCATACATAGAGGTAATCAGTTTTTACCTTTGGAGCAATTCATAAGATAAAAACTAATAACTATTATGATAGTTTTGTTTCTTTTTTTTTTTTTTTTTTGCATTTTGGGTCACATCTAGTGATGCACAGGGGTTACTCCTGGCTCTGCACTCAGAAATTACTCCTGGCAGTGCTCAGGGGACCTTATGGGATGCTGGGAATCAAACCCAGGTCGGCCGCGTGCAAGGCAAACGCCCTACCTGCTGTGCTATCGCTACAGACCCTATTACGATAATTTTTACTTTTAAAATGAATCAATGTTAAAGTTTTACAGGTACACGTTTTTATAGGTAGTATAATGTAAAACCATAGGAATAGATTGAATAAAGATACTCAGATTTTTAGAAAGTCATTTCACTTCTCTGGCTTATCCTTTTCATTTGAAAAATGGAATAATTGTACTGACTTTGTAAATTCACACATTTTTGTGATGGCAACATAACTTGTCCGGTCTTCAAAATGCAGGCAGTGGACTTGGAAATGAATGCTCCATTAGAAAGGTGCATTGATTTTCTGTATAGATTTCCCAACATTTCCAACTCCAGTAATCTACTTAGACAGTCTAGATTTATATCAATTATGTATAGATTACAAAATAATTTTATAATCTTTCTGTCCAGAATCACTCTCACCAAATCAGTTCTGTTCTCTCTGGCAATGTATGGACTGCTTCACAAGAACATAAGCCTTATGAAATGTTTTATTCATCAAGCAGAAGTGTCAGAATCATCAGAAGCAACTTTTTTAGTACATGGATAAGGTTATATTTTATGGGGGCAAATAGGTTATTAACTCGATGTTCTTTCATAAAATCTGGCTATTTTTGTATTAGATGGATTAAGTTACAGCATGTTTTGATGACTATCATTAAATCTTACTATGTTTTCTCAAAAGGGAGGGAAAAGAAAGATATGCAACTTAGTTGTTCTTCTTTGACAATTCTTGGCCAATTTAATTTGGAAGTAAAATGTATGATAAAAATATTTTTTTTTGCTGCTGTTTTGGGTTTTATCTCACTCCTCCCAAAAAAATTTCCAGTAATTTTTTATAACATAATTTAAAGAATAGACGAAACACTTTTCTCTTATTTTGGTGGGGTTCTGGGTCTATGTAGGGTGCCAGAGATTAAATCCAGGTTTGATGCACCAAAGAAAATAAAGTACCCTACTCACTGCAAATCTCCCCAGTTTCCCCAAAAAACTTGAATATAAGGGAAATATACATTGTAAAATTGTACTGTGGAGAACTTCTTCCACAGATGTAATGCTAATGCAGGTCACATCACACTCCCTGTGTGGATTGCAAATGTTTTCACTGTAAATTTGTAAGCATACTTTAGGTATGTCTTTTTGTTTCCTAAATGTAGCATTGTGAGGCATTGCTGCTATGAAAATTATTAAACATGAGTATGTTTTCTTTTGGTATAAGAGTTAGAATACCATGGAGCCTCATACTGCAATATCTTTATATACTGCTAAAGTTTTAGATTGGCAATTCTTCCTAAATTTTTATGAGAATTCATGCCTGGACATGGAGATAAATACTAATGGAGAGTTTTGCAACAAGAATTCATTATGCTAAGTCCTTAAGGTAGCTCATAGTGTATTGCCCAAAATCTTAACAAATGTTCTCAATTGTCTCTTCTGTGGTCAAGTCTAAATTAGAAAAAAAATAATTTTGCCATTCGATCTGGCATACTTTTAATGTACTCCAAACAAAATTGCTTGCTAAATTCAATACAATTGCAATATATTTATCGGTACTTCGAAAATCATGCTATCTTTATTCAAAAAAAGAAATTAGAACAAGTGAACTGAGATAGTTTATTAAGTTCTGTTTCTTTTCCAGCCCAACTGTTAGTTATATGTAACTGTAAGATATGACTTAATCATTCTAAACAGTAATAAATGATCCACTATCTAGAAAGGGGAAATAGAAAAGTATACAAAAAAACATTTTGTCCATATTTTATATATTTAGTTGTTTACTTTTCAAGACAACCCTTGATTTAATATCTTTAGTAATAATGATTTTTAACATTTGTTAACAGATCATTCAGTATGATCAATTTTGTGTTGATATCAATATAATTTTTTATATTTGTTATGGATATAAAAAATGTAAAGACTTCTTTTGGGCTCATGATAGGGGTCTGTGGTCTTTTTGACGCTGTCGGAAAAGCAACATTCCCAGTGAAATACCAAAAAGAAAGTAGGAGCATTGTGGGGATCTTTTGCGGGGGGTTTACAGTCTTTCATCTGGACCTCTTTGTGCTTTTATTTTTCTTTTCCCTCCCACATCCTTATCCAGGAATGATTCTTTGGCAATATAATTTAAATAGTTGATAATTTTTTTTTGGCGGGGGACTGTAACCTCTCTTTGGGAAGAAAGGTTTGAACTCTTCATATCATCAGTGGTTAGTGCATTTTGGCACATTAGTAGAAAATAACCTGCAACTGAGACAAAGTAAAGGGAGGCTCTAAGAGCAGCAATGAGAATGTCAGTTAATACCATTAGAAGGAAATGTTCTACACGCCTCATTTGAACTCTGAGTAAATGGAGTTCTAATGTGCATATATGCCCAGTGCATTGAGAAATCGGAACAAAGCTCAAAGTGTTCAGTCCAGAATAAGACAAAAAGGAGGTCAGTGTTGAAAGGCAGGCCAGAAGCCTTACTTCTAACCACTAGTGACTGGAGAGATATTAAGAGTTTCTAGAAAGAAATTATAATTAAAACAAGAAGT